GTTAAAACGCTAACAAGCTGCATTATGGGAAATGTGAAATACAAGGTTTAGAGTATGTGAACCATAAAAGTCAGGATTACCTAAGCTCTACTGTATAAGCTTTGAAGTTTTTCCAACATTGCTAAACAACATAGTTTACAGGTGTAATTTTGCACCCATCTGAAACCACACCCAAAAGTGATGTCAAAGTCCACAGGCATGCCTGAGAGTACACTCCCCCATCATCACAGCAAAGTGGGAAATTAAACAGCTGCAGATGCGCAAGATCAATGTTTTCTGGGTGTTTTGAGGTACAGGGCAAAATATTCACAGAAATAGTCTCACCAAAGAAGTTTAAATAAATATGACTTTTCAGAAATATTACTTTTTCCCCTCTAATATAACCTGCCATTTGCAGAAAACTGCACAATCGTGCTTCCAAAAATGTCTTAATCATCAGCCAGGCTCCAGGTTTAGCAACATTATTTTTAAAGGCTTAAAAATCCACATGCTGCAACTTTAAGCGACCTGCCATCCTACACCATTTGTTAAATCTTCTTTGAGGTTTTTTCCTATCTCTTGTTTTAGAGAAGCTTTTAAGCGCTGGTGTGTACCGTCTCTTTGAAACAAATCTGCTCAGTTAAAGATATAGGACACATATTCTTAGCCCGCTGTCACTGTCTCTGCAGACTTTGATCAGGCTGAGGTGTGGATGTATCTGCAGCCTGAGACAGTGTTGCCTGAGCACAGACTACTGGCTACAATAAGCAGACTCCCTAGATATAAATAAATGTTCTCTTAGTGCCGTAGGTGTAGCAGCCCACACAGCCCTTCTCTGCTCTCTGTGCCCGCCTGCTATTTGCCATTTATTCACATCACAGCACTATTATGCCCTCCCATCTCTCACACAGAGATGTGGTACCTGTCTACGCAAGGCTAATCTCTGTTGGTGTGTAGCTGTGGCTATTAGCATCTTTTTATATATATGTAGCTGTTTACCCACCATATAAACACAGCTATCTGTTGCAAACAACAACAACATAATCAAAAGAAGTTTTCCGCGTCAACTCTTGGAAACTAAATGAGCGCTCTGATTTGACCTCATTTATAAAGAACGGAGATCTATAATTATCTGAAGGAGGGTTGTGGAGGAGGAAGCAAGCTGGGAGGAAGGGACAGATTTCTCAGAAGGGAGGAATGACAAGCAGAAAACTACAAAGACCTCATTTCATTTTGAGTGTCCAGATGTGACTCTGATGCAGAGAAGGAAGTTTGGTGCAAAGCCTAAATACATATAGGTTGGATAAGTAAGATGGGCAGATGATGTGATCTGTTAAAGTTAGCAGAGCATCTGCCCTTCTGACCTTTTGAGGGCAGATCATTAAAAACACTGCAGTTTAAAATTAAAGTGTTGCAATCAAACTATGACCACAGTGATGAAAGAAATAGTAATTCCAGATAATTAATATAACATAAATTATTTACAAGGGATATACACTCACCAGCCACTTTATTAGGTATGCCTGTTCAGCTGCTTATAAATAAATACCCAATCAGCCAATCACATGGTAGGAACTCATTACATTTAGGAATGTAGAAATATATTGAATAAGGAACAAATTAGGACATTAGGAAGTAAACTTAGTCTTTGTCATCTTATAAAAACAAAGAGTCTATCTTGGACAATCACTCTAGCACCTCTGCGAGGCTGTTCCTGAGCAGAAATCGCGCTTTAATATCCTCTCACGCTCGAGGTGACGGCGCTAACGCACTAATTCAGCAGGTTCGTGGTAGCATATGTCTGCTATCCAGATAGTGTGTTTGCCATCAAACTGACTGGATAGTCTGAACATAAAAAAGTGAGTGATGATTCAGAGCACAGAAAATAAATGTTGTAAAAGGATCAGAAACTTAATTTAACTTATAATTTCCACGAGGCAAAAAAAAAAAACACACAAAAAGGAAAAAGGCTGCTAGAAAAAAGGCCGTATTTAAAAATACTGCAGAATCCCCCAGAGACTGCAAGCTGTGCATAAAGGACAAGGCTCAGAAATACATGAAGACTAATACTCACTGTTCTAGTCGCACAGAAATGCTATCGTGATACACAACGTGGTTCAGAAAAATGCGTGACACTTGTTCATTGATGATCTGGGTTTGCCGTGATTAACAAGGCTGGCCCTGTCAGGGGCCTCGGGGGTCTTATAAAGGCCATCTGCAATGTATGCAGTTCTTAACTGATTATTTCTTTCATGCAAAGAAAACTCTTTCTTTGGTGCCTTTCAGAGGACTTTGGTTTCCTGCATGATACTGAACCATCGCCCTGCTACAGAAGACCACAGAGACACCAAAGACTCGGGTACTATGTTAAAGAGACTTGAAAGACCACCATCATTCCTTTTTAACCTGTGGAGAATCTGTGAAGCAATCACACTCAGAAAATCTAAAGGTCAGACAGTATACCCTGAGGCAGCTGCTTGCTTGGAAGGCAACTGTCATCCTCAGCTGGATGGTGGTTGAAGTGATATCAAAGAAGCTCATTTAGCGAGAAAAGCTTTCTCTAAACTGAAGAACATTCTGTCATAAAAAAAATATAACAGACATCTGTTCATTACGATCACCTGGATCTCTCCAAATAATCAAATGCCATCTGCATTTTGTTTTGTCCCGCAGCTATTTTCATACTATAACATATTTATTGAGTATCCATCTTCTCCGGCAGACTGTTCTGGAGGAACAAACACATTCTGCAAGTGCTTAATCATTTGGAACAAGGTTTACACTAATAGAAGGAGGCAACTTGTTCCACTCTTGACTGTACCCACTTTGTACTTTGTGTTCACTTCATTGAAGACGCTGTACAAGGCTCCTGTGAGGAGCTTTTTTTTTTTTCATGTACAGAGTACAGTGCAGCAGTAGCTCGGGAATCGTTAGAAACAAGCTCCAGCCTCTGATTCCTGCAGTCAGAACTAAACACCATCATTATCAGCACCACTAACAAAGCAAGATTTGTGCTCAGTGTGCAGCATGATGAGGCAGACTACTGCCTGCGACCACATCTGGATAATTGTTTTTAATGTCTGAATGGCTACAAATGAGAGATTTTTTGACTGATTTATACATTTAGCCGTTAAAAAAATAATAAACAACATAATAAATATTTTCAACTGATTATTTACATAATCTCAGAGTCAAAATGATGGTCCAATTCTAGCACACAGACATTAACTGAACCACACCCTCTGCTCATACACGTGAAAAGAGAGTACACCTTAAAAGCAGACTTAGTGATCCTAAGAACCCCCAGTCACTTCATACACAGACACGAAAGCGTTGCATTGTTAACTGTGTTGTTAACCACAAACAGTTTTTATCAACCCAAGTGAGACTGCATTACATCAAACTATATGAATAAACTGCCAATGGTCCAAATGAGCTTTGTTATCCCCGAAATAAGGGGGATAATGAATTTAAAATCTATCAAACATCAGCAGCAGCTGCAGCAGCTGCAGCAGCAGCCTGTCCTGTACTTTAAGGACTGCATTAAACATCCACTCAAGCTCTCACATTATTACACCTGCACAGCCACCAGCAGATGGGAGGTGATAAAAATTCACAACGTCTGCAAAAACACACAAAGAAGCCACATTTCACACAACACTGGAGAATATCAGCAATGAGAGGAGGATATACTCACCCCAGGCAGTTCATTGCTTTAGCTGTCAGCCATAGCTCAATAATCAGCTAAACGTCTGCACAAGTCTAAAAGCAGCAGTGAGCAGAATACTGGGCTCGTGCACTGCTCCTGAGCTGCTCCTCTGTGGGGGATAAAAGGTCTTCTGGGACCTCGGTGCGGCCAGGAGGCCGTCTTCACAAAGTGTCAAGAAAAAAATGGTCACCGCACAGAGAAAGCAGGGAAACAGTCTGAGCGGTATAATGAGAGGACAATCTATCAGTGCTAAACACAAACACCCCTTAAGAGAGAGGGAGAGTGAGGTAAGAGAGCTGGGAGACGGGCAAGGATGGAAGTCCACAGAGAGATGCTATTAATGCTGGTATCGGTCCTTGTAGCAGATAGGAGTGTCCCTCATTGCACAAATACCAACTCTCAGCTTTGGATTATTCATGCCTAATTGAAGGCACTAAAAATCTTGTTGCCTATCTCAGCAGTGACCTCATACAAATGGAAACCCTTCTTACGGTATATTAATATCACGAAAGAGAGTTGAAAGTGGTGTAGTAGTACTGGAGGAAGGAAGCCAGCGTAGTAAAGCTTCAATTGGCTGGACTTGTGGATGGAGAGGAATCTGTGGACACACTGTCTGGGGATTTATTTTGGCACACAGACAGCCCATAACTAAAGAGTTGTTCACATTTGGTTACCTGGCACAATTCTGTCTGGTAGAAAGCCACCTCCACGCATCTTCAAAAAAAAAAAAACCTGCTGGATGTAGCTCCAGATTTTATTTTAATTTTTTTTTTTTTTTGAAAGGG